TGATGCCTTTTGGAGATTTTTCCATCTTTCCTTGGCTTCTTTATGCGCATTAATACAAATTTTTAGCTGGGGTGCCCAAACGTTCGATCCCCACTGTATACTGTGTGTTGAAATGCATTTTTATTATAAAATATATGAAAACTATTTTTAAAAAAATACATCTTCAAATATACTGTATGTCTTAAAAAATAGAAATCTAATTTTTTGGAATGCATTTACATATATATGTAAAAATATGTTAAAATGACTTTTTTATAGGTTTAAAAAAATCTGAAGAATATATTTAAAAAAAAAAAAATTATATTATATATATACACACACATATATATATATATATATATATATATATATATATATATATATATATATATATATATATATATATATATATATATATATATATATATGTCAATATATTTGGGAAGAATATTTTTAAAATATATTTCAAACACATTTTCTTCCATATAGGGGAGCTCACTGGATTTCTGAGTGATCAACATAACATTTTCTGCAGATGCAGTGCTTTTAAAGCGATACTAAAGGCTTGGTTTTTTTTTTCCATTTTAAAATAACAAACATGTTATACTTACCTGCTCTGTGTAATAATTTCACACAGAGCAGCCCCAATCCTCCTCTTCTCGGGTCCCCTACTGGTGCTCCTGGCTCTTCCCCCTCAAGCAGTGTCCCAATAGCAATCCACTTGCTATGGAGGAACTGGTGCGTGTTTGCCCCTGAGCCCTGCTCTCTGCATCCATAAGACACAGCAGAGTGGCACTTGGCTCCACCCTCTGCTCCCTCTTCACAGGCTGATTGCCAATGGCTCCTGCTGTTGTGTCTCAGCCAATGAGGAGGGAGAGACCCCGAGAGCTGAGGCTCCCGTGCAGTCGCCTTAAAGTGTCACTAACCCTGGACCCCGCATTCACTATATCCGGTCTACCCGGACCCCGCACTCACTATATCTGGTCTCCCCGGACCCTGCACTCACTATATCTGGTCTCCCCGGACCCCGCATTCACTATATCCAGTCTCCCCGGACCCTGCATTCACTATATCTGGTCTCCCCCGGACCCTGCATTCACTATATTTGCTCTCCCCGGACCCTGCATTCACTATATCCGCTCTCCCCGGACCCCGCATTCACTATATCCGCTCTCCCCCAGACCCCGCATTCACTATATCCGCTCTCCCCAGACCCCGCATTCACTATATCCGCTCTCCCCGGACCCTGCATCCACTATATCTGGTCTCCCTGGACCCTGCATCCACTATATCTGGTCTCCTACAGTACACAGAACATGGAAATGTAATTTTGTGACTTCTATCAGTGTCCAGCAGAGCACTGGTTAAAAAACTTATAGTAGAATTTTCATTCTCCTCTGATTGTCCTATGAGGCTGCATAACCTCTGACCCTCTGTCTGGACTGTGCTGATCACATGCCCTCTCCCAAGAAAAAAAAAAAACAATCTCTCTAGCAATACACACAAAACTGAGCATGTGCAGCTTGCCCCCAAGGCTCTGTTCTATCAGCAGATGGATTGGGGACAGTAGCAGAAGGGGAGGATCGGAGAAGACAGGATCAAACAGCCTGTTTACACAATGCAGAGGATTAACCCCTTAGGTTCCAGAGTGAGTATAACAAGCATGCTTTACTGCAGCTACAGACTGATTGTACTGTTGGGGGTTTAGTAACATTTTAACACTTTAAAGTGGTTCTAAAGGCTTACTTTAAAGTTCTGCATGCAGCTCTCCACCTCCTCCAGCCCCCCTAAGCCCAATGGATCCAGCACTGTGCACAAGAGCAGCATCTCTCCACTCTCTCCCTCTTAATTGGCTCAGAGACAGCAACGAGAGCTTTGACTCCTACTGCTGTCAATCATAGTCAGTGAGACAGCAGTTGAGGGGGTGGGGCTGAGCCATGCTCTGTGTGTCTATGGCCACATAGAGCCAGCTCAGGAACAAGCACTCACGAGTGCCCCCATTGTGAACAGCTTGCTACGGGGGCATTCCACAGGGTGGGGGAGCCAGGATGGCCAGCAGGGGGCCCGAGAAAAGGAAGATTGGGTCTGCTCTGTGCAAATCCATTACACAGAGCAGACAAGTATGATGTTTGTTATTTTTTTTTTTAATATAAAATAGAATCCTTGCCAATCATTTTAACTCTACTTTAGCCCTTTATTATTATTCTTGGTCCCAGAATGTCAGCATTTTTCCATACAGCACATCACACCAGCATTGCGTGGACGGGACACATAGAAAACAATTGTTTTCCATGTGGCCTTGTGGGGGACTAGCATGTATCTAGTGTGGAAAACACCAGTCACTGCGTGTACAACCATCTGAGATTTGCTCAGTTCATTTATAATTAGAGATGAGCGAATCTACGGCGGTGGAATTCACATAGAAAACACAATTGGATGGCCTTGTGGGGACTAGCATCTGTATCCATGTGTTCCATTTTGTCATAGGGTGCTGTATGGCCTCCCATTGCTGCTGCCTCCACCAGCCACAACTGTGGCTCCCCACACTCTGGTTTTGGCCCCGTGAGCCCAAATGAGTGAAGTGTGCGGTGATTCTAAGGAAAACACCAGGGCATTTAATTACTGCACTAATAGGCTCTCTGAAGCCTAGTACAGCGAATAAATTCCTCTGAATTTGCTCAGCCGAATCGAATTTTTGAATAATTCGCTCATCTCTAATTAATGAAGGTTGACCCTCCCATTCAGAAATTGGTCTGGAATGGACATGGTAAAACAGAATTCTTTTAGGCTTCGTTCACACGAGACATACACAATTGTACACCCATGGAGGGCCACATTCCCCGCACAGCGAGGCACAGGCATTCCATGCATCTCCGTTCAGGTAGTTCCATTGCTGTTAATTGGGACACAGCGGGCTGCATGGACATAGCTGCTGCTCCCAGTGTGGCATCCATGTGGGTGCAATGCCTCGAACGCAACCGCACGAATGTCGTATTGGGAGCATCGACCGTGTCCATGCAACTGCAGTGACCCAGTTGCCAGCAACTGGAATGCGTGTGTGGGGATGCATGGAATACCTGCGTATCCCGGTGTGGGAAGACCTGGCCCTGCACATCAAGGGGATTGTTGTTCCTTGACAAAAACGGAAATACACTTTTAAAGCTGATCTCCAGGTTCAGCTTCAGTATAAAATAGTTTGTTCGGGCCAAGCTGGCCCAAATGAAATGATGGGTCTGCTGTATCAGTTGTATGTAGCGGAGGTCACATACACTGTATGTGGGCTTAAAATTACAAGTCCTGAGCTACTAGTCAGGCCTTCGAGTTACTCGCCAAACACACACAAAAGAGACACCTGTACACACACACGTACATACACATACGCACACAGAAACATGTACACACACGCACAGAAAACATGTACACACACGCACAGAGACACGTGTACACACACGCACAGACACGTGTACACACACGCACAGACACGTGTACACACACGCACAGACACGTGTACACACACGCACAGACACGTGTACACACACAGGCAAGTACAGATACTCGCCACCAACAAACACACAAAAACAGACACTTGTACACACACACACACACATATAAACATGTACACACACGCACAGAGACACATGTACACACACACACACACACACACAGGCATGTACAGACATGCATACACACAGATACATGTACATAAACAGAAATACACATGCACAGACACGTACATACATACAGATACATGTACATACACACAGACACATGTACAATTGTACATGCATACACAGACACACACACAAACACACACACAACACACACACACACACAAGCAACCCCCCTCCCCATAAAAAGTTGCAGTACTTCGTTGTTCACTCACAGAGCCGGGTACTGCACTCTAGGGGGAGGCAGAGAACACAGCACACACTCCTTGCTTTGCTTTCACTCAGCTATTGAGCAGTCTGATGGCTCCCAATGCCACTGACAGATCCGGCCTGAGCTCCGAGCCTGCTCAGCAAGACGGCCCTGAGGGACACACTCGCCCCCAACATAATTTCCACTCGCCATTGGCAAGTGGAAATTTCAAGCCCTGACATACAGTATACAGCACTGTGTTCTGGGTATGAGAACAGACCTTCCCGGCTCAGTTCCGGAACAAAAGAGCGTTGGTCTGTGTGGCACTCAACCATTCATAGGCAGCTTTATATTCTATTAATGAACACAAAGCTCTCTCTGATTGGCGGAGTCAGAGAAATGAGCTGATGATGTCACAGTCTGACTCAGCCAATCAAAGGAAGTTTTGTGCTCATTGATCAAATACAAAAGCTGTCTACAAATGGTAGACAGGCGCTGTTTTGTCCTGGGTGGGAGACAAGAAGGTCTCCTCATACACCCGGAACACAGTGCTATATACTTATGTAGCTTCAGCTATATACACCCAGGGCTTTTTTTCAGCGGGAACGAGGGGGGACGCAGTTCCAGCACCTCCAGCACTGAATGTATGTATTGGCAAGGGGTGTTGTGGTGTGCTGGAGGGCTTATTGGTGCTGGGTACTGGGAGATCTATTGTTTCTAGGGGGGGGGGGGGGGGGGGGGGGGGGTTTAGTTGATTGTTACCTGGGTGGATCTATTGTTACTGGTTGGGGTCCGTTTCTGGTGGGGGTCTATTGTTGCTGTTGGAGTTCTATATACCTAAATGGGGTGGTACTGACCGGGGGGGGGGGGGGTAGGAGGCGGAGACCAGACCATGGTGCTTGGAGGTGGGAGTACCTCCATCTATTATCCGAGAAAAAAAAAGCCCTGTATACAACTAATGCAGCACACCCAGCAGCTCGACATTTCAATTAGGGAAATTGCTGATTTGGGCCAGCTTGGCCCGAAAAACTTATTTTTTTAAGCTAAACCTGGAGATCAGCTTTAAGCGGTTTTCTCATTGCTAGCAAAGTGTTACCATTGGCTACATTTAGTATTATGACTTCAATGGAACTCACCCGGCAATTCACAATTGTATCAGTTTCATGTTCAGTCAGACGGATGTTGTCATCTACGATGATATGCAGATTATCGCAGTCATTGGGATCAATCCAAAATGGCTTCCCTCCGGAACCTGTAAAGCTGTTTCTTGCCCACCTATTAAAAGAAGATGGAGTGTGGTATGTCAAAGGGGGACCTGCCCTGATATACGGGGGATCTCATCACTGGGCTCCTTTAGAAAATGCTAGTTTACTGACAGTCATTCTTTCAAGCCATAGTGCTTTCAAGGTCACTGACCCAGAACAAGCATGCAGATTTTTAATTCTGCGTTCACTCTCAGGGCGCTCATAGACATTAGATCCAGCTACACAGGACGCAGAAGGAGCACCACACTGATGGTTAAGGAGTCCAAAGCGATGTTTTATTCGAAAGAAAACCAAAATGACTGCAGCTCTGAGGACCACCACCACCACTACACAAATCTCATGACGCACAGAAGTTCATGTAATATATCAGGGGTGTATTTACCACAAGGCAAACAAGGCATTTGCCTAGGGTGGCATTTTTCAGGGGGGCAATGCCACCACCCAAAAGAAGGGATGGAAGAAGTGACAAATGCAGCATGGGGACCAGGTGGGATCTGAGAGAGGCTGCGGGCTGTTTGATGGAGTATGCAGAGCCTGACTCTTGTTCCCGGGGATGTCCGGAGCTGTGAAGGTGAGTGTATTCTCTCTTGTAGGGACGGGAGGTAGCCAGTGTATGGGGGAAGGTGGTAGTGGTAGGCTGTCTCAGGTGGGGGCTGGGGTGTTGTTGGTCAATATCAGGCTCTCTTCGTGGGGGAGGAGGTGCTGGTTGGTGTCAGGGTCTCTCCATGGGGGGGGGGGCTATTTTTTGTGTTGCCTAGGGCAGCACGAAACCTAAATACACCCCTGTAATATAGAACTATTGTTGCATTTCATTCAAGTCCAGCCACATTTGAATTTATGGCATACATAAACCCTGATGAAGAGGGAGTGTCTGAACCCCCGAAGTGTGCTGGATTTCTATTGATTTTTTAATAAAACATTGCTTTGGGCTGTCTAACTATTGTTGTGACACTTCTTCTGCTTCCTGTATAGCTGGTTTTTAAGACCCCCTATTTTTCAGGGTGCTTTCTGGTATTTACGGCAGCTTAATGCAGTCCATAGATCTGATTTGCTTTCCTTCCACACAGGTGGAAGGAAAGAAAATGGCTTCATTCCCCCCCCCCCCATCAACAGTCAGTGTTGATGGGGGGAATTGCCTTCTACAGCACTATTGTGTTCTGCCTGCAGGGGGGCGCTGGGAGCCTTCCTGGCCAGCAAAACACAATGATTACTACCGACGGCTATAGCTGCTTGCAGTAATTGCATGTGAAAAATCTGACAGGCTGCTTGTATTCAAGTCAATGGATCGACTTGGGTGCAAACAGGTTGTTCATAGATGGATCAAATCTTAGTCCCTGCTGAACCGGCCGAATTTCAATCCATGTGTGGCTGGTTTAACTGAAGCAAATGAGATTGGTTGATCAGATGGCCTCTGCTAGCACCGAGTACCTCTGTGTTTGTACATTAGGTGACAGTCTTGGTCATCACACAATCCTAGGTCTGTGGGGCACTGTTGCTGGTAGAGAGGCTCATCCGGGGGGGAATATGAATCGAATCGGTCAGAAAACCTTATGTGATCACAAACTTTGCCCATAAGAGCCCAGAATGTCTGCATGAAGCCCCCACCCAACCGTTGCTTCCCCTGCTCCTTACCAGTCAAAGTGGTCCTGAAACCCTCCTATGCCAGACAGGGCGGTGAAGTATTCATAAATATTGCTCTCTTTTCCTTTAGTGGACACCCGAGTCGTGCCCCGGGTCAGCACCATCTCCCTTTTATTGCATCGGATTTTCCCAGGAGTGAGCTCCACACTGAGCTAGGGAACAGACCAGACAACGAGAAGGCATCATCAGATTTATCTCAACTACTTATAGTATATATCGGTCCCCTTCCAAAACTTTGGGTACTTACTGGCAGTTCCTGCAGCTGAGGGAAATGCGGGTGTTTTTTCCGGCTAAAGCAGCATGAACAGATTGGAGCACGTGTGGAAGGTCACTGCCGAATGTTCTCAGTATGACAGAGAATTCTCTCTCCCTGCTGGTGGAGGGTGCTGAGCAGGTGGAAGAAGGACGGTAGGATCCAGTGGTAGAACTTCCCGTCCTCTCCGCTTTGTGTAAACAGGGCGTCTGCCTCTCCATGCCACTGCAGTAGATCCATGTGGCGTGTGAAGACCTCCTTAAATGGCTGTCCAATCTTGGAGTCACTGAAGTAGCCATCACGCCCAAACTGAGTGTAATAGTTGATGGCGTCTTGGGATGGGGCTTTGAGAGATGGCTGTTCACTTATCCATTCCCACTCACCTAGAAAAAAAATCATTTTATTAAAAAAAAAAAAAAAAAAAAAAAATAGTCATTCGTAGCATAAACCCCATTCCCAATTTGCACCAATAATAAAAAATAAGATCTGACTGGCTGCTATGGGCAACTTCTTTCTTCTACGCTTCAATATATTAATAATTGAGGTCCGGTATTGCAGGTCATCCATACATCTGACTTGCACCCAAAAGTCTTGTTCTCTCATTTCATTTTTAAACCTGAACTAGGGGAACAAACAAGTGTCTGGTTTATGGACACCAAAGAGTGTATCTAAGAGTACTTAAAGGGAACCTGGCACAGCCTAAAACATGGCAACAGTAGTGGTGACGTGCAGAGATCTTATGGTGCCTACAAGTACTTGGGTTAGTCTTCATGTCAACCTCTGAGGAGCTTTCTGGATCCAAGACCTATGCTGTATATGATGCTTTTGACCCCACCTCCAACATCAAGCTCAACATCTGCCATTCAGATGTCAAATGCTAGAGCCTCTCTTACCCACTGAAGTTCTGGCATCAGAGTTAGACAAGGGACAGAGCTTAGTGCTGGAAGGAGGAAGAGGTCTTGAAACCCAACTCTGGGCAAAAGTTTTAGAAAATAAACAAGACCCCCCGCAGCTCCGACTCACCTTCAATACAGAGTTGTCTTTTGCAGCACTTCCAGGCCTTAGGCTGGCCATACATTATACAATTATCTGCAGATTTTCTGCCCAATTTCCTTTAGATTTACCTTCAACTATGTAGTGCAAGGGCCTGCCTAATTGGATACAACTGAAAGTGTTGTTTAGGTTTGTCCTCCTATTATATGGTTTTTGGTAAATCTAAACCAAAAAATCTGCAGATAATTGTATAATGTATGGCCAGCCTTAGTCTTCCAGGTTGAATGACGACCGGTGTCATTCAACCTGTATGACTGATCATCTACTGTGAGTCTAGGGCGTCATGGGCCCACCCTTGAAGAGGCCATTTTTAAACCTGAACTAGGGGAACAAACAAGTGTCCAAAGAGTGTATCTAAGAGTACTTAAAGAGAACCTGGCACGGCCTAAAACATGGCAACAGTAGTGGTGACGTGCAGAGATCTTATGGTGCCTACAAGTACTTGGGTTAGTCTTCATGTCAACCTCTGAGGAGCTTTCTGGATCCAAGACCTATGCTGTATATGATGCTTTTGACCCCACCTCCAACATCAAGCTCAACATCTGCCATTCAGATGTCAAATGCTAGAGAGCCTCTCTTACCCACTGAAGTTCTGGCATCAGAGTTGATGGACAAGGGACAGAGCTTAGTGCTGGAAGGAGGAAGATGTCTTGAAACCCAACTCTGGGCAAAATTTTTAGAAAATAAACAAGACCCCCCCCCCCCCCCAGCTCCGACTCACCTTCAATTCAGAGTTGTCTTTTGCAGTACTTCCAGGCCTTAGTCTTCCAGGCTGAATGACGACCGGTGTCATTCAACCTGTATGACTTATCATCTACTGTGAGTCTAGGGCGTCATGGGCCCGCCCTTGAAGAGGCCATTTTTAAACCTGAACTAGGGGAACAAACAAGTGTCTGGTTTATTGACACCAAAGAGTGTATCTAAGAGTACTTAAAAAGGAACTGGGCACGGCCCAAAACATGGCAACAGTAGTGGTGATGTGCAGAGATCTTATGGTGCCTACAAGTACTTGGGTTAGTCTCCATGTCAACCCCTGAGGAGCTTTTTGGATTCAAGGCCTACGCTGTATATGATGCTTTTGACTTCTGCCAAAGTTGGAATTTAGCTCCACCCACCTCCGACATCAAGCTCAACATCTGCCATTCAGCTGTCAATGCTAGAGCCTCTCTTACCCACTGAAGTTCTGGCATCAGAGTTGATGGACAAGGGACAGAGCTTAGTGCTGGAAAGAGGAAGATGTCTTGAAACCCAACTCTGGGCAAAATTTTTAGAAAATAAAAAAGACCCCCCGCAGCTCCGACTCACCTTCAATTCAGAGTTGTCTTTTGCAGCACTTCCAGGCCTTAGTCTTCCAAGGCTGAATGACGACCCGTGTCATTCAACCTGTATGACTGATCAGCTACTGTGAGCCTAGGGTGTCATGGGCCCGCCCTTGAAGAGGCATCACCTCTTTATTTGCAGTATGAGAGTGGTGCTTACACCAGCCTCATCCAGGAACAGCCACTGAGAGGGAAAATGAAATATCAGAGAAAGAAGAACCTGCACTTTATGTAACCCAACTGAAGACTTCTGTAAGCCAAGAACATACTTGTCCCGAATTTGGTGGGACAGTCCCGGCTTTCAGTCAGCTGTCCTATGACTGCTTTGTCCGGGGCTGTGTCGGTATAAGCTGGGGGTACTACTGAGTGGGGGATCAGCAGAGCTGGGGGTTACTACTGAGCAGGGGATCAGCAGAGCTGGGGGTTACTACTGAGCAGGGAATCAGCAGGGCTGGGGGTTACTACTGAGCAGGGAATCAGCAGGGCTGGGGGTTACTACTGAGCAGGGAATCAGCAGGGCTGGGGGTTACTACTGAGCAGGGATCAGCAGGGCTGGGGGTTACTACTGAGCAGGGAATCAGCAGGGCTGGGGGTTACTACTGAGCGGGGAATCAGCAGGGCTGGGGGTTACTACTGAGCGGGAATCAGCAGGGCTGGGGGTTACTACTGAGCGGGGGAATCAGCAGGGCTGGGGGTTACTACTGAGCGGGGAATCAGCAGGGCTGGGGGTTACTACTGAGCGGGGAATCAGCAGGGCTGGGGGTTACTACTGAGCGGGGAATCAGCAGGGCTGGGGGTTACTACTGAGGGGGATCAGCAGAGCTGGGGGTCACTACTGAGCGGGGGATCAGCAGAGCTGGGGGTCACTACTGAGCGGGGGATCAGCAGAGCTGGGGGTCACTACTGAGCGGGGGATCAGCAGAGCTGGGGGTCACTACTGAGCGGGGGGATCAGCAGAGCTGGGGGTCACTACTGAGCGGGGGATCAGCAGAGCTGGGGGTCACTACTGAGCGGGGGATCAGCAGAGCTGGGGGTCACTACTGAGCGGGGGATCAGCAGAGCTGGGGGTCACTACTGAGCGGGGGATCAGCAGAGCTGGGGGTCACTACTGAGCGGGGGGATCAGCAGAGCTGGGAGTTACTACTGAGCGGGGATCAACAGAGCTGGGAGTTACTACTGAGCGGGGATCAACAGAGCTGGGGGTTACTACTGAGCAGGAGATCTGCTGAACGAGGGGTACTAATGAGCTGGGGATCTGTTGATTGGATGTACTATTGAGCTGGGGTTCTACTGGGTCCCTTTAAAACAAACAGAGAACCAACACACATACAGCATTTGCCTTCATTAAAGCTTCATGTGTAAAGCAGGCCATAGATGGGTCGAAAACCAGCCCTTTTAAAAATCGGTCGTTTGACCACCAACGGTAAAAAAAAAAAAAAAAAAAAAAAGAAACACAAACGGCCAATTTTCGGCCCGTCTGTGGCCGGCGTGTAACCCCATAATTACTTCTGTCCCTTGCAGAGACGGGGGAGCACACAGGGGGCAATACATAAGAATAAGGATTCCAGTCCGCTATTAGATTTTATATGAAAAGTCTTGCAGTTGCAACAATGTATCTATTTTTTATTCATTTGTATCCATTTCAAATACATTATGTTTTTATTCGGATACAAATGGATACATTGTTGCAACTGCAAGACTTTTCATATAAAATATAATAGCGGACTGGAATTCTTCTTCTTCCTTTCTTTTTCTTTTTCCAGGTCACGGCTCATGCGCAGATTTTTTATCAGTAAATGATCGGCCGATTTGCCCATCATTGCCGGGAAAATCGGCCGTGAATTTTCCAACATGCCCGATATTGTTGGCGCAATAAAAAAACAAAGTCCACCTACCTGTGTTGCCTCTCTGCCCCCAGACCACAGTGCTCAGGTAGGAATTCAGCGCCTCCCTAGGCCCTTGCCCCGTGGCTGCATCAGACACCAAGATGGTGTTATTCAGATCTAGATGAAGAATTAACTTCCTCCTCTTCTGTTGGAGAGCGGGGATCAGCGGCTGTACAGTGTCACCCACGTCCTTGGCTTCCTCCTCTCCATTACTGAACTCATAGCCATTGGCGCCATCCATGACCGATTCACCGAAACTTCCTCAACGCATTCAAGTCTTTTTTATTGATCTTCTAATTCAAGCAGGAAAAATGTCTGCAAAGGAAAAATATTTGTAACCACTTCATTTTCTTTTCTTTTTTTTTAAATCTCAGTTTAAAAAAAAAAAAAAAAAAAAAACATACCCTATAATTTAAAAAAAAAAAAAAATTTAAAGAAATAAAAATTAATTTAAAAAAAATAAATAAATTTGAAAAAAAAATTTTTTTAAAGTAAAAATTTTAAAATAAATAACTTTATTTAAAAAAATAAAATAAAATACAATAAATAAAATTAATTGTTTAAAAATAAAATTAAAAAAAATTAAATTAAAATAAATACAAGTAAAAAAAAAAAAAAAAAAAGTTATAAATTAATTGTTTAAAAATAAAAAAATAATAAAAATTAAAAAAATTGTTTAAAAATAAAATTTAAAAAATAAAAAAATACAATTTAAAAAAATAAAAAAAAATATAAATACAATTGTTTAAAAATAAAAAAATAATTTAAAAAAATTAATTGT